TCTCACTTGTTTGAGCTAAACCAGTCTTCTTGATCTAGTAGTAAGCCATAAACCCTGTCTTGTGTTATCTATATTTAAGAACCTGCTCTCCACATTCAACCATATATAATAAACACGCTGAGCTTCCAGTGTGCTGAGGTTTCTCCATCAGAGAGCCCAATCCAGCCCATCCAACATATCTGTCCATGTGTCTCTGTGTGTCTATTTTTTTTTCCATGCCCTCACACCCAGTCAGTTAGACTTTGGAGCTGTGCTGGATGAAGCACCTACTACCCATATTCTGGGAGTGAGGTCATCAGATGACATATGTTTTTGTAGCTCACTTCTATCCCTTGGGCTATTTCTGTCTGTGACCGGAGTCAAGGAAAGACTCTGGAAAACATGCTTAGGCCTCTGAGCAAGAACCTTTAGGTCTAATTGTCAAGATCTAGTGCTCAAGGCTTTTTGGGCTTGTGAAATCCATCTGGCCAGGCCCCCCTTTTTTCTCTCTTGGGCTGTCCATCAGGCACTGCTTGATCATTGGGATCAGAATTGCTCTGTTCCCCACATTGGGAGTCGTCAGGTTTCCAAAAGATGCTAATATTGGAACACAAGCAGAAGCATAAGCCAAAATCAGAATCAGGGCTCATAACAGAGAAATAGCCTTACTTCATCTCTATCCCTGTAATTTACAAACAATTTACGGGCTGAAGTATCAGTCGCTAAGGGTTCCCAGGGCTTCAAATCTTCATAATTAACTTGATTAGTGGATCACAATTGAGACATAATGAGAGCAGGTGTACATTTGGGAGCTTTGTATCTGGCTAAAAATATAGGCCTGACAAAACACCTGCCACTCCTCTCTGCCTTTCTCCTTTCTCCAGGGAAGTCCTAGACACTGAATAAATTTTGAGAGGAGCATATCTTTAGTCAGGAACTTTTCTATACTGTAGAAATAACAGTGTATAGAAAATTATGAAGAAAGTATAAATGAATGAGAATCTTGCCTAGAGATTATCTTTTTGTTGTTTCCTCTGTCTTTTTAAAGGGTACTTTTTCCATATTTGAGGTCATGCTGCTCTGTTCTTTTGTTCTGCACATTATTGTTGGACAGACCCCTTTGAGAAAGATATTCAGAAAGCTAACTCAGGCCAAGGAGGCTCTGATCCCAGGTGGAGCACAAAAGTACCACTTAATTCAGCATCCTGCACTGCCCAAATTGGGAGTCTGAGATAGCAGGCTCTAAGATGAAACACCACGCAAATACTTGAACTATAGCATTCTCGCCCAGTCTTTTGCTTATGATATAATTACCACTGTTCTTGGCAGTTGACATGGAGGGCATCATGAACTTTATATTCGCATTGCTAGTCTTTAAAGCTTAAAAAAATGAAACAATGTATCCCCCATTTATAAGAGAGCTTCCAGCATGAAAATGCTTCCATTTCCAGTAGGTGTTTTTTGTTTTTGTTTTTAGACTCAGAATCACGGAGGGTGACTTTTACTGTCTGAGTTTGGAGAGAATAACAAACCCAGTAGGTAGGACAAAGAAAAGAAGGACGAACCAAACTCAGGTTTTAAAAAATATGTGACACTTGCTTTAAAGCCCCACCTTATCTGTTCCTACTGGAACAAAGAGCAGAAACAGGCAGAAATACGGTTTTTATCCGTGTGCTTTAAAAAGACCCATGTTAAGCTGGATTCATGTGCATGCATGCCAGTGTGTCTGCAATGAAATCATGTTTTAAAGAGGATTCAGCTGCATTATATTTATAACTATGTGTTGCTCCCAGCTCCCAGCTCCCAGCATGTCTCCTTGTGGTAGCTCACGTCTCTATTCTCTGTGTCCTGATTTCTGTTCTAAAGTATGCAGCTTTGAAGAAAGTAGACTGTCCATTCTCTCTCCTCACCAAACCCAACCCTAGTCGTGATTTTGTGAGACCCTGGTCCAATGAAGGATCTTGTTCTGACATGTTGGGCTCATTGCAGGAGAAAGTGTAACATGTTGGGGATCAAGCCCCTCCCTTTGTTGCGCTGCTTGGCTAGTATAAATGGACAATGAAAATTTAGTCATATCATGGGGTCATTTGCAAATACTAACTGAACAGCTCCCTAGGAAAAGAACAAGTGTTACTTCTTACAAACTAAAGTTTATTGAAAGTCCTCGAGGAAGGGAGTTAAAATGCAGATTTCCAGGCTGTACATTCATTTTGGTTTCTTATTTATTTATTTATTTATTTATTTATTTAGGTTTTTCGAGATAGGGTTTCTCTGTGGCTTTGGAGGTTGTCCTGGAACTAGCTCTTGTAGACCAGGCTGGTCTCGAACTCACAGAGATCCACCTGCCTCTGCCTCCCGAGTGCTGGGATTAAAGGCGTGCGCCACCAATGCCCGGCTTGATTTCATTATTTTTAATTGAGATCTGGGTGTCCTGTATTTTACTATCCACCGCCAATATGACAAAAATAATGCCATTGTTGAAGCATCCTTCCGGCTCTATCCTTTAGGTTGCATGTTTTGTATCATTAGGGGTAGTGTTAGTGTTCTCATATTGACCATTTATCACCTTGATAATGATGTGCATTTGGGAGGGGCACAAAGCTCAGTTTAGACTGTAGTTTGGGGTCCCACCCACTCAGAAACATTTGGGACAGGCTACTGTATCTCTCTAGTTATAAAGTCAATATACAGTGCCATACACCAAAAATAGTCCCTAGGACGATAGACAGAGTACCTGCATTCTCCCATCCAAGTACTAACCAGGCCTGACCCTGCTTAGCTTCCGAGATCAGACGAGATCGGGCACGTTCAGGGTGGTATGGCCGTAGACGAGAGCGCCTGCATTCTATGATTTGCTCTGATATAGCTCTTCTGCAAGACTCCTGATTCCTGTTGACGTTCACATAGGGGCATAGTCCAAGCACATATTTGAAGTTCGCATCCGTGAGCATTCACTTTTCAATTCGGCCCATCTCTCCATCTCCCCTCTGTATAAACTTGTTCAGATGTCTAAGTTTTGCATGAAATGCTTAGCCAGACATTGTATGTACACACATAAAGTGCAGTAAATAGCAGAGCATAATACAAATACATTGCTATTTCAACCCTTTTATGTAGACATACTTTTTTTTTGTAGTGGAAAGCCTACATTTTGGAGTCAGAAGACGAGGTCAAATTCTAGCTCTACTATTTATTTACTGGTTACTTATCATAAGGCATTAGTTATGATCTTTATGTCCACGTTTCCTCATTAGGATTAAATGAGGAGTCTTGTGAAAGATCCATAAACATGCTTAAACTCTAATAAGAAGCCTACAGATGTTATGTACCACCTTTATTGCTAATTTTCTGGGTGCTAAAGGGAATAGTCCTTGAATTTCTCTCATAGAACTGCTTATTCAGGGTCCTTTGTGGCATACATTAGAAATAATCCAAGCCAAATTAAACAAAAAGACCATTTATGAGAATGTAGTGAGTGGCTCTAACACTGACTAAGAATGCTGAAGAGCCAGATGCAGGAGACAAGTTGGAACCCAGCAGGTCATCCCAGGGCTACAGCCCAGACCTCGCCCCTGAACAGTGTGGCCCTCTGACCCCCACAGTCTCTGGCCAGCTGCTGCTGCTCCCTTGTGGCAAAACCGATTCTCCAGTGTCTCTGCTTCTTACACTACTTGATCTACATTCAGGAAACTGAGGGAGAGGTCACTTCTACTACACTCCAGCTTTGGTGGTCAGGAGGGGACTAGACTTTCTGGCTTCTGTATTTGAAACTGTTCAGATATTCGAAGAACTCAGAGGGCAAGTTGTGGTGAAAGATGCTCTCCTCCTCCTTATTCCACATCCGTCCTGGTGTACAGCACCCCTGCTTTCAAATACATTCATTCTTAGGGTGAAAGTTTCTCTGCTCCAGGAATTCAGGGCTATTTTAGGTCCTTCAGCGCCTTTCTCTCTTCCTCTAGCCAGGATATGGTTGCCTGGTTCTTTACCACTATTAATCCTGAACAGCCCACATCTTGCTCCATCTTTCAAGTGCTAACACAGACATCTTTTATCGTGGTCCTCAGCCCCACCCTATGACTAACTTGCTCTTTTCTCTGACCACCAGGTCCTTTCCCTATATCTTCTAAGATGACATTGGTTCAATTTTTACAATGAATATGCATTATGTCTCTAATAGTCTGGCCTTCTTCCTCTCCTAGGCCCAAGATGCAGCTCCTCAAGGACAGGAAGGCTATACTATTACTCATATTCTGTGGCCTTAGCACCTCGTAGAGCCTTAGTATGTAGTTGTTAATCCAAGCACACCATTCTCAACTTATTGCGACGCCTTTCCAATAGACAGGAAAAAACTCAATTTAAAAAGTAGGCATAACCCATATATGTAGGTGTAGGTCATTTCAGTCTCTCTCTCTCTTTGTTTTTTCTTATTTTTCTATTTAAAAAGGCCTTAAACCACACCACACTTCAGAAAAAAGGTTGCATAGTGGGTTTGTCCCCTATGGATTCCAATTTGACTGGGGCCTTGCCTCTTGGTTCTTTGAACCAGACCCACCTGCCAGGGCACAGCAAAAACAAAACAAAAACCCCAAAACCAAACCAAACAAACAAACAAAACCCCACATTTTTCTGCCTTCAGGAGTTGCTAGTAGTCTAAGCCCTATGAGAAGTTATGCCAGGCCCTTGCAGTCTTCTCTGTCCCTGTCACCCA